CACACACACACACACACACACACACACACACACACACACACGATATCCTTCCTTAGCCTGATTGTTAATTAGCAAAATATACTTTATATTTACAATTAACAATTTACTAATTAACAATCTAAAGAAGGAGATCACGTAGGCAACTAATCACAACAACAGTCTCTTAATTTTTAGTAGAAAAAAATGTGAATGGTTATTGGTTTGTGCCTTTAAGTTTTATCGATTTACACTTAGATATTTTAATATACTTTTGATTATATTCTCGTGATTTCGTAGTAGAAACTTTATCCATTCTATCACTCCCCTTGTTAATTTTGATGGATTTTGGGAGTCGACCAATAATTTTCTACATTCTAATTTTACTGCTTTGTTTTTTTTTAATGTAGTATGGTCATAAACGTGCAAGGAATTATCCAGAAAGAGAGAATCTTTTAGCTGGTGACCTCAGTCATGTTTACACTATCAGTTACTTGACAGCAGAACCCACACAGGGCTACCTCAGACGGCCCATCCAGCCCTATCCACCAAAATCTCCACAATTTTACCGACCCCAAGGTGGGATGATGAAGAATGCTTTGAAACTTCAATCTTTGGTTATGAAAAAAACAAAATTTTCTTTTTTTTTTTTTTTCAAGATTTGCCTTACAGATCTTGCAAAGGATCTCTTGTGAAGAAACATTAAAAACGTTGTTGGAGAAGTAACTTAGTCTGACTGTGCTGTATAGATTTGAGGTCTACTAGGGTTAGACCTAATTTTCATTTCTATTTTTAAGTATTTAGTGAACTTATAATTGGATATGAGCTTTAGCATTTTTTCTATTAACATGCTATAAGTTGAATAAAAAACAATTGCAATCAGGTTTTAATTTTTTTGTTTTTTGATAGCAATTATGTTCTAATAAACCATGAATAACATTACTATTATCTGTTATTTCTTATTTTCAGACGTTTTGAATAAACTGAATAAGTTTTGTTCATCACAATACCTGAAAACTCTGACTTCACTTTTTTCAAAAATGAAATGGTCTTTACTTTTACTCCTGATCAACAATCAAATATCTTTTCTTGAATTATGAATAACACGAATGGATTGAAATATTTAATTAAATTATCTCAAAATAAACCTTAATTGCTGTACAATATTGAAATTAGCTTGAATTCTTCATAACCTCTGAATAGTGGGTAACCCAACGGGTCACGGGTGGTCTAGTATATTATAATAATCAGTTAAATGTACTGTTTTTGCCAATAGGTAAAGTATAACCTATGTGGGTAATCTTCGTGGTTACATTTAAATATGGTATTATGAATATAATCAATGATGCTTTAACAAGAAAAGAAATTTTTTAATGCCCCTCCCCAATACAAAAGTACTTCTACAGCCCTATGTATTTAATTTCAATGCAAAATCCTGATACTGTAACTAAAGCATGAAATCAAAGGGTGATGTTTCAGAAGTAAAGTATTTAACATTTATGGACTCAAGTATTCTATAACTTGTATGTAAAACTAAATGTGGTGATATTCAGGGGAGGATAGGTATAAAGTGTTGTTTAGTTTTAAAATTAATTACATTTATTATACTGTAATTTTTTCATTCGTTTATAATGAATGAATTATGTATGAAATAATTATTTTATAGATGATTTAGGCCGAACATTCATGATGAACGAACAAAGGTAAATTGGGCAGCAACTGCTTAGTTCACAGTTAGACTTGTAGATTAGTCCTCCAAGACTTTGCAGGTGTCACTCTGAACTAGTCAGTTGCTACTTGTAGATTAGTCCTCCAAGACTTTGCAGGTGTCACTCTGAACTACTCAGGTGCTACTTGTAGATTAGTCTTCCAAGACTATACAAGTGTCACTCTGAACTAGTCAATTGCTGACCATTTCCTCTTTGTTTGTGCATCAGGTATGAAATAAATATTCTTTACCTAAAATTCTTATTTCACTAGTAATTAAACTCCAAAGAAGTCTTTATAAGACTACTGTAGTGAAACAGTTTAGTGTAGTAAGTAAAAATTTTGAAATACAAATAACTTGTTGTTGAAGGTTATGCAGATTATGGTTTTATACTTTTCATAAAACTACTACTAAATCTGTGTACATTCACATGACAAATGGCTTACATAAGTAAAATTTTCTAATTGAGCAGAACATAAAATTATTAAATTTGTTGCAACAAATATCAATATTAAAACTATGTAATGAAAAAAGTAAACTATTATCTTGGGCAGAGATATCCACAGGTTCAAGTTAGAGGTATCATGAAACCAATCTGTAGAATAAGATTTATTCTGATTTAAAGATGTAATTCCAAAGAGTCTTCTTTTTTTTTCTTGTGTGTGTGTGTTTAAGTTTTAACGTTTTTCTTACATTGCTTAAGAACATGGTGTGTTCCATTAGATGCTTGTTAACAAAAATAAAAAAACATACATCAGTAAGATCTAGAAGTAGATTTAGTGCAGCTCATCTTGTATATAAGCTGAAAGTAATATTACAACTTCATTCAAGTACAAATTTACTTTAGTGAAAAGGGCTGAGAACAACATGCATTTGCAGGATTTTAGATTATTGTGATTACAAATCTGGCCTTAAATCAACTGTATTTTGTATATACCTCCCCTTTCTCTTCAAACTAGTTGATTATATTATTAAAATAATGTAGCACACAGAATCCTTAATTATTTCTCTACATACAAAATTTGTTTCATGCAAAAGTCACTTTCTGATTAGCAAACAAAATGAATTAAAAAAATCAGAATATGAAAACTGCAGAAAAAGGTTAGTCTTATTGTGTATGTCTTATCTTACATAATAATAATACATCATTCCAAACATTTGTTAATAAAATGTAGATGTATCAAGACATCATATGGCTATGTTTTTTGCTTTTTTTTAAAAAACTTAATTTTGTCAATATAAATTGAATTTGAATTTAGGTTATCTTTAATCATATTTAATAGAATTGGCCAGTAAGTAAATTTTTTTTCTTGATATGTATTTTCTGTGTTTTAGAGCAAAAAGCAAAAAAAACAACATTACCAAGAACACCAGTACCAAAACAAGGTTTGTTGTTTTTAACATTCATACAGGATTAGTTTGAATATTGACTACAAACTTTAGTTTGACTATTCACTATTGTAGGACTTTATTACTTATAAAATGGGATTTTCACATAACTACAAGCATATTCAGTGAGGTATTTGTTATAAATGTACATAAATATTAGTTTTCTAAAACTTTTATTTATATTCAAGCATCTACATGAGTGACTTAAAGTAGCCTCCATCTCCTTAATCAATCAACTTGAAAATCTTGTTTACAGGGATAAAAGGAAAACTTAAAAATGAAAACATAATTTATTAATATGGTTTTGGAACATGCAGTGCTGTTACAAAACTGCTAAAAACATTTTATTTTACATTTGAATATGGTTTCATGCATCAGTTTACATTTTAACAGAAATGGATGTTTGACTTAAGTCGTAATATGTCGGTTATTTTCATTTCCAATGAAAGTTGTTCCCACTTTTAAAAATGTTTCTTTATAATTCTTATGTCACTTAATTATATGGGCTAATATCCAAAAATTAAAACTTGGGTAAAAGATTAAAAACTTTACTCATAGCTGTCTGTTTTAGAATTATTGAATTAATAGATGTTAATTAATACTTGTGAATATCTTGTATAACTAATTGCAACTATAGATTACTGTCTTTTTTTATTGTTTTCCTTTTCATGTTGGGACTACTAAAGGAATGTCAGTTTTAGGTAAGTAATACATTAAGTTTAATTGTTGTTTTAAATTATCAATTATCAAAATGAAACAGCATGTTTTGTGTGTGTGTAGTGGCAAAAGAAAGTATAAATATATCAAAAAATTTTTAGTTCTTCCATGAACAAGTTTTGCATTTTACAAATATTATATTAACTCATAATTTAAAAAAACTTTCTATGGTATCAGGTTTATTTTGTGTCATATGATGTTATTTTTTTATTTAAAAATTTATGTTTTAGTGTTTCTTTAGAAGCAAATAGTTCTTTAGCATTAAAGTATAATTTTTCAATATATTTTATTCATTTTAATAAGTATGTTATTTTCAGGTTTTCCAGATATATATCATCCTTTTCTAAAGAAAAATTATTTTTTTTTTTTGTTTGTTTGTTTGGGTTCCAGTGGAATCTATTCAAGCTAGTGTTCCTCGACCTCGTTCTCCATACATGAATAATGAAGAGCCAATAGAACTGTCCCAGTACCCCGATGCCCATCCTCCCAAACCTACAGAAGTTGCCAGAATTGAAAGAGATGATTTTCCTGCACCACCTTTTCCTTACACTGATCCTGGTATGTAGATATGAAATAATCTTTTCTTTAAAAAAATATTAAATTTATGTTAGAGTTTCATGATAACATGCAAAGTGAATGGACATAATCCCACCAAAAAAAACCTGAACTAAGGTTTGGCTAGTCAGTATTCTTTATTTGAAAAGAAATAGTTAATATATAAACCCCTATACAAGCAAATTTAAACTGACATTATGATGTCTTTTTTATAAGAATTCTCAATGAACAAATGTCACAAGTAGTCACTCTCAGCCATTAAAATAATTATCAGTCTTTTTGCAAACACAAAAAACACCTCCAAATTATGTCATAACACATTGGCTTCTAGAAAAGAAGATTGAGTAGTTGATGTATCTCAATTCATACGTACACAGAACTAGCTGAGCACAGTACAACAGTATGAGTTATAAACTTTCTATAGCAATGTAAAAGAAAAAGGATATTGCTGCACAGTTAGTTGTCTTGACCAGTAAAAAAATCTATATATATTTTATACATGAATATAAGTTAATTGAAATGCAGTAGAAAAATACAACTACAAATAGGAGCATCACATGTTGATTTTCTGAAAAGAAAACATTATTTGTACTACAATTTAGATTCAGTTATTAATTCTGTACCTAAATGAAAATTTGAAATAAGCAAACCTAAAAATGTAATAAACAATGGAAATTGCACCATGGGATAGATTTTTTAAATTTTATCTGTAAAAAAGTCTATTGCAGTTGCATTGTTGATGCTGATCTTTAAATTTGCTTTGAAATATGTGTACAAAGTTTAAAATTTGAACTTAATGGGGTATATTTAAAGCGTAATAGATATGATTTTAATGAGACTATCTGCTCCTAAGATTGAAAGATAAACATCTTAAGCTCACTGGTTCTAATTTTTGATTTAAATGTTCTTCTCTTTCACTTTACTAATTGTGCAAGATTTTTTTAGTAGAATGTAAAAACACAAACACTTATTTAACACTAATGTTTAGAACGTAAACAACTTTGGAGTGGCAACTCCAAAGAGTTTGAAGTTGATGAGACTGACCAAGTAGATAGAGAGGAGGAAGTGCAAGAAGACCCACGTTTAAAAAAAGAAGAGCAAGAGTTATCAAAAATAGCAAGTGGGATTGGCAAGGTAAGTTAATAGCTATTTTTAAAAATAACGATTGTACTGTTTCCACTAGTTATTTCCTAATATTTCCATCTGTTTGTGTTTACTAGCAATTTCTAATCACAAACACTAGTTGCTTTTAAACATTTACAACTTTTTGTATCTAATCAACTATAACTGGCCAATTCTAACCATTACCACTAGTTATTTGTAAACTTTTGCTACTATTTACTTTTTTAAAATTCTCCCCATTTGCATTTATCAGTTACCAATAGTTGCTTCTGTAATCATAGGCTATTTTCAGAAAGTTACCACTTTTTATTTATAAGTAGTTAACAATTCTTACTTACTTACTTTAAAACTGTTTTTTTTAATCAGTTACCATATGTGTTTAGTATAGAAGGTAAAGCTTTTTTTTAGTTTTAATAGCTCAATGAAGTATAAAAATGTTTTTAAATAAACAAAGGTTAAGCTTATAGCAGAAAATTGTTCTTGTATCAAACATTTCGATTTATGCCTAAACATCAAATTATTGGTTCTGTGAGATTGTTCTGATATGTGATTGGTACATAATAAAGGGTCCCCGCAAACACAGTGTCACCAGGTTTTTCATACATTGAATGGTCAGTGTGTTAATAGACAAGTTGCACTGTTTCTTAGAATTTTGATACTTTTAGTAAACTGTGCTAGAAATATTTTGCAATATATTCATTGTTTATAAATTGTGATATTTTGGTACAGTGGCATTTGAAAAGGAGTTGCAAACATGCAAGTAGTGCTAACAAAAATGAAAAATCAATAGCTTTTTACATTGAAGTTATTACAACATTAGTCTTTTTTTTCTTTTAATCATATATACAAAGTTAAAGAAATTTTTACCTTTCCCAGGTATTTCTGAAGACTGTGCAAGAAAGAGAAAAAATACGGGCATGGAAGATAACACACGTTGATCCTCGAAATGCTTCTCGTGCTCCCTCTGCCAGTCGTGAGGTTTCCATTAAGCTCCGTTATGACAGTCCTGTCAATGCCTGTAAGTTACCAAAATAAAATTATCTTTTTGTTTTTAGTACATTTTTTGGATATATTAAATGTTACATAGGAGTTTTAATGTAGAAACTTATGAATAATTAAACAACATGTGTATCATCTTACAGATTTTTTTTTGTTGATATATAGATTTTTCCCTTCTGAGCTACAAAAAAAAAAGAAATATACATATGTATAAGGTAAAACAGAATGTCTAAGTTGCTATGTTAGTTTATCATTTATATTAAAGTGAGAAATGTTTTGACCCTTTTGCTATTTCAAACAATATTTAATTCCTCATTTTTGCCCAAACATCAGCACTGTAAGAAAATTGTTTATCCTTGCCACTAAATCTTTCACTTTACAGCTTGAAGGTGGGAATTATTCCCAAATAGTATGGGAAATCCTGTAGCTCCAGTACTTGCCAATATATTTATAATAAGAATTGAAGACACTGCTTTCTCAAATTCACTTTATAAACCAATTTTTTGGTTTTGAAATGCTGATGACATCTTCTCAGCTTTTGATAACATTAATGTAATTCAGGAGTTTTACTCATCTGAACCAGATACACCCATAAAAAAGAAATTGATCACAAATTGTCATTTCTAAATATTCTTGTTAAAAAGACAAACACAGGCTTCCAAACCTCCATATTTTGTAAGAATACTCACACTGGACTTTATGTTTCTTGGAAGTCTTTTCATAACCAATGCCAAAAGGTATCAATACATATAAAATCATAACTTCCAACGTTGATTGTTGTGCAAAAAAAAATTCCCTTCCAATGTTGTTAATTAAATAATTGCTTCTTTTGAAAATAAGCCACAAATTGACACAGAAAATGATTTTTTTTTGAAAATGTCCCTGTCACTTGTATTTTACTATTCATTCCAAACTTATCTCATGCTATCAAAAAAAAGTCTGGTGAAAAACAGTCAGAGATCATAAATTTGACATTAAAGTACAATTTACATTTTTACCTGAAAAGAAGCTAGGTATATGTATAATGATACTCCAGGAAATGTGTATACAATTGAATGTACAGATTGCAAAAGCAGTTATATTGGTAAGGCTAACAGATAACTTTCTACTTAATTGTGGGAATGTCTAAAATCTCCGTCTCATGTTTTTGAACATGTCTATGAAAACCCATTCTTTTTATTTTTCCCAGGTAAAAATCCTCAGCAGAGAGGACAACATTAATATATGAAAAACAAAAGAAGCCCTATTAATTAAAAAATATAACTCCATTATTAACAAATACTAAGGTGTTTGTTTAGATCTATTTTAATTTCATTCTCTTTTGTTCATAGAACATATTTCAATACTCAGACTTGGGCTTATACTTAAAATTGACAGTTCATTGATAAATTTTTATTGTTTACACTTTCTCAGTCGTGTGCTTGTAGATTACCATCATTATATGTTTTTTGTTTTAAATTAAATTATGTTAGCCCCAGTTCTTGTATAACACCTGGTGGTGCCAGGTAAACCTGGTGAAACATTGGGAATAAAATAAACAGTTTTAATATGTACAACTGATAAACAATTTGTATGAATTTAATTCTCCTGCTATTGGTCTCTCATAGGACAAGTAAATCCAGCAGGAATTTAGCACATAGTTTTTATCAGTATAAAAATTAGTTAACAATCAAGATATTCATCCACTTAGTAATCTGTTAAAAGCCATACTTAATTTTTTTTCTTTACAGTACAAATAGATTGCTTCTTGGGGAGATGAAATTATCAGACTATAAGCAAATGGAATCTAATATCCAGCTGATAATAAGAACTATATAATATGTGTGTGTGTATGAAAACAGAAAAATAGGCTAACATAAAATTTAGTTTTTGCTTCCTAAGTACTTCAAGTAAATGTGTTGTGATCACCAGATTCGTAAGTATTTCAATGTCAATGAGCTAATTTACAAAGAAATTGTTTTTTATACACTTAATTTGACTTTTCAGACAAGCTATGTGTTTGGTGAATGGTGTCTCTTGCCAACAATGAATATCTATTGTATTTGTATAAATGGATAAAAGCTGTGTTTTTACAAGAAAAAACCACATTGATGTTTCAATGCTTTTTTTTCTGGTCAGCACCATCTCGAGCAATGGATCGACCCCGACCATGGGAGGAAGATGAATTTGATCGAGGTTCTAGTAACAGATCATCCTTGGGTAAATCTGGTCACATCACACCAACCTACAATGGTAACCAAACCCAAATGTATTAACTGAAGATTTAAAGTAGGACCTTTTATCATAATATCATAGAAAAAAAATAACCAGCTTCATTCATTATTTCTGAATCAGGACAAAAAGAAAATGTTAGATAAATTCTATATAAATGTTTGAATTTATTGATGGATGTGTACTTTTGTACTTCTTTTTTAAATTCTGTAATATTCTAAAGAAATTATTGATAGTCCATATCAATCAACATAAGTAATTATAAGATCATGGTTAATCTTAAACTAACTTCAGAGGGCAGTGACTTATTTATCATTTAGTGTTTAAAGCTTAAGAAGAACGTTTCAGCAAGAAAAAATAAATATGGCAACTTCATGTACAGCCTGCACTGTTCTGTATGTATCACAACTGAAACTCGTACTACAACATCTAGTGTAGAAATGTAGCTTTCTTTTCTAGAAAAAAAAGAAACATCTTAAATTAATAAGTCAGTAAATAACCAAATGAAGTAGTTATGTAATAAAATATTTGTAAAAGATAGTGATATGTATTTGGGTGATATTACTGGAAATTAAGTTGACAATTTAGATATTTTGTTTTTTTTGTTTGTTAATTTACGTCTTGAACACAAAACCATTTATTTCTTTAGTTCTAGTAAACTGGGATTAAAATAAATTACTGTAATTTTAAATGTCAAGATACTTTTAATTCGTATTTATGTACCTATTCTTTTTATATTTTATTATTTTCTTCAAGATTTAAATCTACTGACATTTTATTTAAATGGGATTGACAAAATGTGTAAGAAAACTTTTCTACTTTATTGTTACTTAAATATCTGCTATCAGAGTCAGTGTAGTAACTGGTTTTACCGAGCATACATTGAAGGTTTTTCCACAAGTTCTGTATATTTATTTTTATGAATAAAATACCATATTTAGAGTTTGTATAAATATGTTAAAAGCTTTCTAGTTTATTAAACTCAGTTTCAGTGCCATTATTCTCCACATAAGTGTTTTAATGATTTTAGAATAATGTCATTGTTTTTTAATTGCTGAATTTTATGTGTTGTGCTGTTTAATTATAGTGATATCTTCACTCCGGACAGTACCAAAACCAGGTTATGGATTTGCAACTAAGTCTTCCACGCTTCCTGTTGGTGGCCGAGATTACATGGTAGGTATAGATGCATTAAGAAAAAACTTTACTCTTTAATAATCAGAAATTTGTGGAAGAATCACTTGAATGTTTTTTATCCGGTTGCAACTTATCCTTTAGAACAGTTTTGCAGCAGATACAGATAAGCCATCTAATAAGAATTAATACTTGTGTATAATTTATTAGCCTTTTTACCAATAGGAAGGCTATACAGTATACACTAGCAGAAATGCTGCCATATGGATGGCTGTTTGTGCTAGTAATTCATATCTCATTGAAAAATTTAGAAAAAAAAGTGAACATTTTCTAAAAAAGGATTTTTTTCTGGAAAGTACTGCACGGGAAAGTGTTTGAATTGTGCTCTTTAGTCGTATGCAACTCATTGCATCAAAATGATTCAATGTATAGAGCTCAAAATTTTCATAAATTTTACTGATATAAACTGTAATGTTTTTATATATTAAAAGTGCTACCCTCTATTGAAAAAATAATAGTTTTCTAAGACCTCCAGTTTTTCAGTACCACATTTAAAAATTACATCAACAAAGACATAATCAAACCCTCATGTACAGTCCTAGTTAAAGTTGTGTTCTTGTTGTGAGGAGAGCAGTTTTAGTTAATTTGTGTTCTATTATAAACAAATGATTGTTTCACATACCAGTTATTTTTATAATTGTCTGAATCTTGAATACCCTAAGTGTGAATTTTTTTATGGATATTTGTTTGTGTTGTCATTCAATAGAGGAGTTTTGGTTACATACATATTCTGACGTGCATGCTATGTGCGTAATAGGAAGATATATAGTTATACAAACTGAAATTCTGGCCAAAAGTAATGCAGCAGTGAGAAAAACTCTAACAATAATACCAAGTTACAAATTATAGTATGGGGAGTTATAAGATGTATCTTGGGTTTTGAGGTATCTGAAGAAGTAGGACCTACAAAGTGGTAGGGATACAACGACTACCAGATTTAACCTCATTTTGCATGCCTCACCTTTAAAAATATGTCTCAAATGGTGCCACTGCTGAATGTCAGTGATGGCATGAAAGTAATATGTAATGAGTAGCTCCCTGGTGGGCTTAATTGTCGGAGTTTCAATTAAAACTACTCGTTACACCAAATTTATTTATTGGAGGATTTGT